GATTTGCCCATATTTCAAAGGCTCTCTCTCAGCATTAGATGGCTGATTTGCCCATATTTCAAAGGCTCTCTCTCAGCATTAGATGGCTGATTTGCCCATATTTCAAAGGCTCTCTCTCAGCATTAGATGGCTGATATTGTGTCCTCTACTTTTCTTTCCTTAAATATTCTGGAGGTTTAATTTCGCTGCAAAGACCACACAGGGCCAACTAGTGCACTTCGTGCATTTCTTGGGTTTTCTAATGAAGTTGTAACTGGTTGAGAGTTTGTTCCTTTTTCTTTGTTAATTCTGTTATTTTTGTTGTGGTGGTTATTATTACCATAACTGTTGTCGTTGTCTCTGTTGTTACTGTAGATATAGCTGTTGTTGTTTCTGTTGTTGTTAGTTTATAATCACATACTTTGTTATGTTGTGTTGTTGTTTTGTTTGTTTGTTTTTTGTTGTTTGTTTGGTTGGGGGGGGTTCCTTTTTGATTTAATTCAATTTTATTTCATTTTACTTTTTGTTTTCGGTTTTGTTTTTGCTTTGCTTTGTTTTATTTTTATAAATGAAGGGAGATATAAACAATTCGAAACACGGACTAGAAATATATATGTCAGGGGGAGGGAAGTGTTGTATTTAAATACGAGACGACTGACAGACAAAAAGATATGAAAGATAAATATCTCAACACGATGGAAGGAAAATTTACATTGGTGATTGTTAATTTATACAAATACTAACAGATAATGTACTAGATCTTTAAGACAAAAGAGCCAGCAATGTGTAATGAGACATCTTATATGTTTGTGTGTGTATGTGTTGTTGTTGGTGCTGTTGTTTTTGTTTTTGTTTGTTTGGTGGGAGTTTTTTGGGGGGGAGGGGTTGGGGGGGGGTTACTAAGTGAGTTGCAACCATAATATAACCTCTTTGGTTGTAACAGCTTCCTAAGCTCAGCACAGTCAACATAGTACTCACCCGTTCATGTGTTTCTATGTTGTTCATGTAGTTTTTGTGTGCACGGGTCTTTTTGCGACGCATCCTGGGGATTGGATGAGTGCGTTAGAGATACAGAAAGAAAATCCAAAAATCAATTTAACTGAGAATTGTCTCCATATCAAAAAGGGAAAGTCGATCTTTTGTTTTCGTAACCAACGAATAAGTCTGGCGTACACCTGTGAACGAGACATGGGCACTACTTATTATGAGAATTCTTTTGGGCAAATTGAATAACTGGAATGTTATAAGAGACCGTTTCGTGTGTGTGTGTGTGGAAGGAAGGGGG